TTTAAATTTATAAAACCAGTATATCCATTGTAATAGTTCAGTATCAATGAAATTCAAATAAGTCAGAAATAAATATTTAATGAAATACATCCTGAACTTACACGGCCAGTCAGTCTAAATTTGAACTTTCCCATTAAATTGAAAAACATCTTACAAGTAACAACTATTTCCTCGTACTGGAAGTTTCTTGATATAAAACGTAGTTTAATGATTGCAATTTTTCAGATTATAATCTTTATTACATATTCTACAGCCACTTTTATAGCTCAATAAATTGTGTGTAAGATGTTATTGTCGTCATTTAAAGCATGAAATATAGCGTGTCAACAATAATGATTCATTAACATAAGAAATGTTATTGTATTTGAGTGCATTAAAAAGTTTTTTTTAATATATGTATTATAGCGTCTATCTCCATATCCCGTAGTGACATATTAAATGCAACACCAGCAAATATATTTTATTAATAGATTTATTTGAAATACTAATATTAATTCTCATCTATAAATAATATGTGATAACATTTTTGTTACTATTTTTTTACATAGCAACCATTTTTTATTATCATCATTATCAGCCGAAAGACATCCACTGCAGGACATAGGCCTCCCCCAAGGATTTTATACCGGAAAAAAATTTTATAAATACTTTTATACGAAGTAGTTTCCTATAATAAATTTCACACATTTAAAAATCTGTAAAACCAATTTATCCCCGACAGTGAGTTAACAGAGTATATTAGATATCTCAATAGCCGATAACAGGGGATTTTGGTATAAATCGTTTTCATTAAGAATATAACTACTTAGTGATTGGATAGACACATTGGTTATTTTTAGTTGAAGTAAAAACTGTATTAGTTTGTACATTTAAATAACATCAAATTGAATAGCTTTATTATTTGGTAGAGTACAAACGAACTAAATTTGTCGACAAATTCTTAATTATTATATACGTACATAGTAATGTTAAAGTTTTCATTTTTTATATTTTTTATACTAAAGTAAAAAGAAAGCACTTCGTTTAAACTTTGAATTATTAACGAAAACCAACTAAATCTGTTACTCATTTAAATAATTGCTTCATCATGACGGTATGTAGTAAAATGTGGTCGTAACGTGATTATTTCATGATATTCATTAATTATAATAACTATAAAGATATTTTTGTATTAACATACATACAAAACTTGTAACTCAAAGTATATATACTTATATAGACATGAATATTAATGGTTTTTATAATCTTTGAATGACACTTTGGTTGACTTCTCCGAGTAGGTACATGTACGAGGATTTCCGAAACAAACATTTTATACGTCACAAAATAGGGACTCAGAAGTTGTTCTTACACCTGAATACTAGCTATCTTGCTGTATATACGATAGATGAATAATTAGCCCTTACAATACATTAATATTTACACCTTTTCTATGTTAATTTCTCAATGATGTGAGAATCTTTGAACAGTAACCTAATCTTTTTAAACATTCAAAAGTACTCTAATGTATGTAGACATAAGTAACTACAGCTACCTTACCTCCAGAGACGGTGGAGCGGTACAACGGCGGTCGGGGCATGCGAGGAGGAGCTTAAGAGTGTAGAGTCTAACCTGCAAAAATTTGGTAACCAAAAGTTTGTAGGAATAGAATACTCACGGAGGCTTCTTACGGGACGGCAGGAAGAAGGAGGACCACCATGGAAGATTACCGGAGAGCCATGACAGAAGCAGGACGCGCAAGAAGACGGGAGACTCCTGAAAACAGAAAAGTAAATAGTATTAGAAATAGTTGAGGAAATGTAAGAGAACTAATAATAATGAGCAATAATAAATGAAATGTAATAATTGTATGTAATGTAGCTAATAATAATAATGTTTATTATGAGAGTAATTATAGTAATAATAAAGACAAATGTTAGAGTAAGAATAGTAAGGATTTTAAACAACGTATAAATAAATTGTATGTAATGTAGCTAATAATAATAATTTTAATTATGACAGTAATTATAGTAATAAAAAAGACAAATGTTAGAAGTAAGAATAGTAAGGATTTTAAAATAATGTTACAAATAAAATAGGAATAGAAATGTATCGCAATAAAAAATGACTCCAATGTTATTAAATGGAACAGCACCCTATAGTCCAAAAATAAAATAGAGAAATGTAATACACGGTTAGATAGATCCCAGGCATGAATGAGACGAATAAAAGAAAAAATAGAATGCAGAATGATAGGCCCTTATAGTAGCGAGAACTGGTATAAACGTAGATAGCAGAAAAAGACTCTGACCACGTTAGAGGGAGTAGGCAAAAAAAAAAGTAACTACAGCTTCAGAGGGATTTCGAATGGAGTATTATTAAAGTATACTTCATATAAAGAAATACCAAGAAAATGTCTCTTGAAACAAAAATTGTAGGCCGTCCCAAATAAGATTAATCGTCTGACACGCCATTCATCACTAGCAAGGTTTCATTAGGAAACTAATATTAGAGGTAAATAATATACATATTTTTATAACCTTATGTTTATATAATTTATATAGAAGTGACCTAAGCTAAGTTGATTTTATTGACGATTATAATTCGGTTTCATAAAAAATCATTTAAACTTTTTTTCAGTCTGTTCATATAATACAAATTGCCGTAGTCACATCACATATGAAACGCATACAGGTTTTGCTTCAACACCTACATATATTGATATGTTGGAGTTATGTACACGCCGAGGTTTTTAAAAATCATGACGTCAGCATTACTGACCTGACAATTTTAATCATCTGATAATTATATTAATAATTACGTAAATAAAAGGTATTCGCTCCGAAAATATTTCATGTATTTAGGGTTTAGTACACTTTTATACCGTTTAATACACTTTTATAAGCTCTGACACCCTATTTTCTCTCTGAATCAACTGAATTAGAGTTGGCTAAAGAAAGGTTATTTATACGAAGAAGCTGGCTGAATTGTAAATCTTTTGTGTATATAAAAGTTAATCAATGAGAGTTTACATAAGACAGGAAATGCTTAAAGTGACATAATAACATAATGTATCATCTAAATAATTAATAACTTGTGTTTTCATTTTATATATTACCTACCCATTTTTTTTAAAAGGCCTTATTAGTTTCATCCACGTCAAAAGTTGAAATAAATACTTCGATATTTCTAAAAAAACAATATATGTACATAGCAAATATTGCTCCTACGTACTGTTAAAAGATGTATAAAATTAATAAAATTTAAATATCAGTTTGCAATTTAAAATTAATCGTATTTTATATTGCATTAAAATAAAATTTGCTTTTTTTAATTCTTGTCTTTACTGTTTATTCCAGCGACCCTTGAAAAGGGTTTCAATTTTGAGCAAACTTTCCTTGCCAAATAGCTGATATTATAAAAAGTATCTTAGATTACTTTTACTTAAGTTTTTTTGTCATGAAAAAGGTGGCAAACGAGCAGACGGCCTACATGACGGGCAGTACTCGCCGTAACCTGGCGTTTACAGCTGGTGAGATATACATTTTTATAATTAATAATAATTGTAAAAGAAAATCAATATTCAACTCCAGGCATGAGTAAAACTTCAAGTTTCTATCCAAACTCACTAAATATTGAAAAATGAACTATAAGTGCAAAGTACTGTGTTCATTTTCTTATGAAAATCTATGAACTTTTGGTATTTGAAAGACTTGACCGTTTTTAATTATTCAATTACCTTACACAATGAAATATCGTAGGAATATAAATAGTAATTCTTAGTTCCTAAAGAATCTGTACATTAAAAAGATTTAGTTTACAGTTGAGAGTAGGTCTAAATATTGATATTTGACTTGAATTTAAAACTTTTTTGTTTTATGTGTATAAAAAATACATTAAAATTAGCTCGTTCCATGTTCAGTTACTTTATTTCTTTACAAGAACATGGCTAACCTTTGAAAACTTCTATGAAACTTTACGAAATATGCAAGTGTGTTGTGTATGTGAAGTAACATTTTAAAAAAAGTTAAAACTCAAATACTTAACTTACTCACACACTATAGACGTTACTACACTGCAGTGCCGAGCTCCATTATAAAAGGAGATCGGGTTCGGTCGGCGTTGTAACGTTCTATACCTTATTCAAGTAAAAAAACGCTGTTTTCTAAGAACCTTTGTTTAAAAAGTGGCAACGTATTTATTACCTAGTCCCCTTATGTCACAGGAACAGACATAAGCTTTTCTTTAAGTCTGGCCTACTCGGGAATTCACAAAGAGCCTTGACGCTTGTATTTTTCTTCCCTATTTTTTGCATCAGTTTGGGTCTCACCCGCAAACAAAGAGCCATTTTATTGAAAGTATTTTATTAGTTATATAATCAACCGTACTTGTGAAAGATATTGATTTACAAATTTATTTATAAAAAAATATTTATTACAGAATATTAAATTGGAAAGGTTATGTATCATTTCAGTTTATACTAGTATCAGTATTTATTACTGGATCGGAAACATGAGTCACGCGTGGGTCACTGTTTATTTAAAATATGAAAATATTTTATTTCAAGAGTTTAATATGAATTAAATTTGCAACAGAAATGCAACTTTCATGCGGCATACAACATACTGCAAACTAACAAAATTCGCAAAACTGTTAACACTACTAAATTTAATTTTAATGGAATTTTACTAACAAAAGTAAAACTAAACATATACATAAAGCTCTTGAATTATTAAAGTTATTTGATCTATAAATATTAAATTATTTGATCTATAAATAATTTAAGAATAAAAGTAGTTTCTCGTGATATAGATTCTCGTCAGGATCAATTTATTGCTGTATCGCGCAAACCTCACATATAAAAGTGTGCGTGAAAAAGGTATTGCAGTAATATTTTCTTCAAAGAATGTAAAATTTCTACCATCAATACAACTAATACCTCATTTCCATTCTGTTCTGCAATGAAAAAAATATTTATTTTTAAATCAACCTCAACATTACTTTCAATATTTTGTTTTTTATTAATGAACTAAAGTATCAAGAAAAAAGGAATAGGCAATTCAATTAAAATACATACCATATATAACAGTGAAGCTACAACTTATACCCCCACCTATACTTGTCGCGATTTGAAAAGTTGTACACATATATATTTGACTTATCTTTCATCTAGTGATAAATGTACTAGTTTTCCATTTCATTTCTTCCACGTGAAATTCAGTATTAAGTTCAGAGAGAAATTTATAAAACTTGTAAATACAATAGATATGGTAATCGTCTCAAAGCGTCTTATTGCAGTTTATATAAGGAGTTCCTACACAATACAACTTTTAAACCTATATATTATTCTGACGTAAAAGCTAATGTTAAGATTATAAAAGCTAGTTTATAATAAAATAAATAAAAGATACATAACTTATGAAAGACAAGTAGACGAAACTTCTCAGCATTCCATGGATTCACCGTGCGGGTGCCGGGTCCATCGCGTTGCAGGGGGAGGAGCTTCAACAGTGCCTGGGACTTGCGACCCAAGTGTAGGTTTAAGGGGCCCCTTAACTACCGCGCGTTATACGCTCACCTCCACTGTCCAAGCTCCTCTCCCTACCTAACCAAATTTGAAAAGAACCTACTAGGGCTGCCTTCGATGTACGTTCCAAGAATGCATTAATGTGAGTTCTGGACAAGCCCAAGTCCTTTAGTAGGTTATAGAGAGATTTCGCTGTTATACCTCTCGCTCCCACCTCCACCGCGTACAAATCTACTACGAACCTATTTCGAGTGAGTTCGTTTGTGAGCTCGTAATATTTGTTGACCTTGATGGTATGGTCTTTGGGGATGTTGGTTTCCCAAGGGACCGTAAGCTCTATCATCACTACGCGCTTTAAAATTCGCGAAAACAAAAATATATCCGGTCTGGAGGCCGACGCACAAATATCCTCGGGGATTTTATATTGTTTTTCATACGTGTCCATGATTATAGTCCAATCCGACGCCGCTTTAAGGATGGAGTAAGGCTTGACGTTTGATTTTGTAGCCCTAGAGCCTTCTCTCACAAAACCTACTGATCGTTCGTTTGTGGTTATTCCCTTTTGCGCTCTGGCTACCGAAAGACTAACCGCTTCACGTATGACTTCTAGAACCCTATCGTGACGACGCGAGTATTGACCGCTGTCAAGGAGTACCTTACATCCCACCAGCAGATGCTTAGCAGTTCCAACTGCCTTTCCACAGATATAGCAAGTTTTTTTCGGTACTTTTACCCCATCTTACTAAATTACTCTGATCTGGGAGAGTCATCTGGAACGCATTGAGATAGAATTTTAGCAATGCTGGCGACCAATCATAAATTAAAGTGCGCCATTTTAATGCTAATGGGATGCAAAAATCTCCTATGTCTAACCACTCGTTCTACATTTCTAAATTCATTGCATGGATCTTATATTTATCATTCTCGTCTTGCCGAATAAAAGACTTCAATATATCCGCATCTTGGACTTTCCTATTTGATCCTAACCCCGCTCTGTTACTTTGCGCTCCTATCATAAATTGCTTATGGAATTGAAGTCGTGACTCTAGCTCGGGGGCATCTTCATCTTTTGGGAGCGATGTCACTATGTCATCATGGGATTTCCCCAGGATATATCTCTTGGAAACTCTTAGGTGTTTATAGAGCTCCGATGGCCTTTTTAGACTCATCCCAAAACTATTGCTTCCCCTAAATAACGCCGATGAATCAGCCGTTAGAGCGAGCCCGAGCCACAACTTCAACATCTTTATGACGCCTGCATCTAACTTTGACAAAAGGGTTTTATTAAAATCATAGACGAGGAAAGGCCAATTCAAACGTGAAGTTAAGTAATTCTCGTAGATCCACGCTTTTTTGACGTTACTTATCAGTTGGCTATCTACCTGGTTAAGATCGTTCAAAAAGCTATCTACTATTCCTTCTAAAGATGGAGTACGGCCTATATTATCTATCTTACGACCGAGAAATTTAAATGGTGCATTTTCCGTAACCGTAGAAATGCATTGACCGCCTAACGATAGTCCCGGATCGTATGAGGTGTATCTTGTATTCCGCCTACCAAGACACAGACAGTGACATTTACTGGGTTTTGTCCTCAATCCATCCGTCCACTCACAGAATTTATCCACTTCATCCAATAGTACCTGACAGTGTTTGGGGTTACGTGTCAGTATTGCGAGATCGTCAGCGAAGGCTAAAATGGATTCCGTGTATTTATTATTAAACTTAAACCGATAACCCCATTTTTTCTCGTTACAGATTAATTTGTCTACTAAGATGTTAATTACGATATTAAACGCAATTGGAGATAGACAACAACCTTGAAACAGTCCTACATTATAACTCAAACTTTTTGAAGGGCCTTCTTTAGTTATTATAGAAAACCTTAATTTTGAGTAATACGACGCGATCATATCTCTAACTAGGGGTGGAAAGTTGTACCATCTAAGCGCGAATAGCATCAATTCGTGTTGTATCGACCCGAAAGCGTTCTCCAAGTCTATCCAACAAACAGTGATTTGCCGCTCGCTTTTTCTAGCATCTTTTAAACTCTCCGACAGCAAGGTGTTGTGTTCTAAGCATCCAGAAATCCCGGGTAAAAACCCTTTCTGGTGATTTGGCCTAAAGTAGTTGTTGCTGAGCATGAATCGCGTCATTCTCGTTTGTAGAACCGAGAAAAAGATTTTCGATATAGTATTTGTTAAAGCTATCGGTCTAGTATCTTTCGGATCAGTAACTCGATCTTTTTTGGGAATGAGGACAAAAATTGCTTTCCCGAAGCATTCCGGGATTTGCTTCCTTGACCAGATTTTACCGTATATATTTAGGAGGTGTTTACGAACCGATGCACATTTTTTAAAGACTATATATGGGATACCATCGGGTCCCGGTGCAGATTTAGACGACTTCCTCTTGATCTGACTACTTAGTTCCTCTAGCGTTGAATTCGTTAAAATTCTTTTATTAAGAATTTTAACGAATTTTAAAATAATAACTGCAGAAAAACCTCAGTTTTTGATCACATTGCAAATTAGGTCACCCTATGTAAAAATACAATACCCCATACAAATATTATTTCACGTTATAGTATAATTATTACGTTCGTAAGTAATGGAATAAAATATCGGTGAAGACCAAGAATACAAAAAAAAAAAACGAAAAATAATTCATTAATGATCATGAAAGTTAGTAACGATCATAATTACCTAAATGGCCTTCTTGAATAGAATTCAAAAAATATTAAACGGCCATTATGCCTTCAAATTTATCAGTCCATAAAAGGATTTCTTGTTCTTTGTCGTATTAAACTTATAGAAATTTTATTAATAGTAAAGTTGTATATACAATGCATTATATTTTTTTTATTATAATGTAAGAAAACGTGACTTAATCTATTAAGTATATACAATACATATGTATATGTTTTATTATTTTGTTTTTGTTAGTAAAATTTGTTGATGTCTTTCAGTTACTTTTGTAAAAGAATTTATGTCTGTAAAAAATATTTATATATTTCATGAACTGGTACACTTATCTAGTATATTATAAAAGCTAAATCAAACACCGTATAGCCCTGCAAAAAATAAACTGTTTTGACAACCTCTATATTGGCTTATTTTAAAAATAACGAATATTTAAAATGTACTAGGATGTCTTTATCAAGTGTAAGATAAGTGTTAGAAAAACTATAGAATAATTTTGTTTTCATTGCAAATTATAGTAATGTAGTCCTATTAAAAAGAGGAAACGTTCAACTAAAATTAATTTCTGACGACCTGATTAATAATTGTAACCTTCTGTACCCTATTGTAGACAATATATCACGATCCCGATGTTATGAATGTATTGTTTTACTTTATAATTTTCCACATTATACTTTTCAAATGTGAAAATAAATTTACATAGATAGATTTATAACATGAAAACAGGGCCCTGTAGAAGATGCAAAAATTTTATATAAAATTATGCTCAATATTACTTGATTATTTAAGTTACAAATGAACGGCATAATATCTTGTGAAATATAATAATCTATATTCATTACGTTGATATAAAATTCCTATGCATTGACTATCTTACAAACAGATTGCGTAGATTTGTGAATGTTTTAAATAGTAAAATTAATAATGGAGATCTTAAATAAATAAACTTTAATTATATGATAGAATATTATTAATTCATTTTACATTTAGACTGGAATAAATCCAAACTGATTTGAGTGGTTCTGGAGTGTCAGGTGACGAGCTTAACGTAAGAGTCTCAATGAAATAGGAAAGTTTTGGTAAATAAATATTACTCATTAGTTCAAATGGATTTCTCTTTTCGCTGAGGAATATATTTAATCTATTTTAAAAACACTTCCATTAATAAAGGACATGTTTTTAGCAAATCAAAAATAGAAGGTCATGTGCATAATAGGGATATATAATACGAGTATAATAGGGATATTTAATTAATATATATATAAAATTTATTTTCCACACATTGGCCTTGATCGATTTTTTTTAAATATTTGCTATTTCAGGCTTTCATACATTTTTCATATATTATTTCATATTCACTTGCTAACCACTCCAGTATTCAATTTAATAAATATAGATTAAGTACTTATTAAATTTGATTTTAGCTTGAGATTAATTAATAACGACTGACAAAACGCAGTACAGTAGATAAAACACATGAAAGAGATAGCTTCTTGAATTTGTGAAGATATTTTAAAACAGTATCACACTTCCAGGAGACTAATATAAAAATCATAAGAAACGTTTTAAAGCTGTTCAAACCTTGCCCTTAGCGGCTAGCAAGAAATATATACATCTTGTGGTTGTTGGACATTCCCTCACGTGGAAATCTTCAACATTTGAAGTGTTGCAGATGCTTTGCTAGCATTTTATTTGGAGTGTGGTTCAAAACAAAATAATTCAATTTAATGAAATTATTTTATTATAGGAGATTGGCTTTGTTTAGGTAGAATCACCCTAGGTCACCCTAGACCACTTGCCTCTTTAACTTTTCAGTTTATTTTGTAAGTAGTTTTTGAAACTCCAGCAAGGAAAAATTATTTTAGTTTTGTATGAACCGAAATTATTCAAATTTCCTTCCTTATTACAATAGTTTCTTTTGTACGTCTATCATTTTGTTACTTTAGACAAACATACTATCTACGATTTACGTATGAGATTAAGATAGGAAGAAGACTCATTTAAATAATTAATAAAATAATTTAACGAATATTATAAACGAATTATATAACGAATGATACCATTTTACTTTTCCATACTTTTGAGTTTTATAAGTATTACACAAACTATAAGTAACAAAAAACTTAATTCCTATATATGTCCCTCCTATACATTTACGAGTCTTAGACCAACCTCTTTCCTTTTCAGCAATCTAGATAAAGGTACGATAAGATAATGGTATGTGTCAGTTTGCCTTAATATTTGTCATCTCCCACCAACTTTACATAATTCTCTTACGTGCTCTAGATGTAAGCAGATTGGAAGTATGATTATGGTCCTGGGATTAAATAGTTTTTATAAGAAAATCCCAGGTCCAACACCTGTTTGACATAATAACAAGCAATCCTCTCTCTTAAAATGAGGATGTATTTTATTTCATCAGCAATGCAAAGAAATCTTGATTGCTGATTAACACAGATACATATATGAAGTAAATATGGCAGACATGAAATTGCAACTAGCGTTGGATTAAAAAAATTAATAAATACGTACCCATAATTAAAAATTATATTTTTATCAATTTAAAATATTCTTTATTTTATTTACCTTAATTTTACACAATAACACTATTAACAAAATGAAATAGGAAATTAAAATATGCTTCTATTATTTAAAATCATAACAAATAAAAAAATATCATTAATTCATATACATATTAACGATGTTAAAGAAGAACAAGAGAATGTTCTAAATTTTTGTTAGTTAATTGGATCTTCAATTCGTTAATAGAGTTAAGTTTATACAACACAAAAAGTATTTTAAAATAATTAGTCAGCTGGTCTCATAAATAATAATTATTGAAAAGTCTCTTCAATTCGATTGAATTCTGAATTAAATTTCGTACTTTTTAATGTAAATATAAGAATATGAACGGTGTTTATTAAGACATCATTCTGGGTCAAGATGTTCATATTAATATTAAAATTATTTTCTTTTACTTCCAGAATCCAAAATGTTCATATAAAATATTAAATTATAATTTAACTAGAAGGTTTTTTAAATGCAAATAAAAACAGAATGATAATTAAAATTGTTGGTTAAAACATTCATTGAACGAAAACGTACAAAATATATTTTAAACCCTTAGAGTGCTATTCCTAAATGAAATAAGATATCAATACATAAAAATATACTTTATTAATAATTAATCAATAAAGCTGATTTTAAATAACCATGACTTAAAAAAAACTTCCCAAGGGCTAACATTCCCACAAAAAATGGAAAATATTAAAGAAAATTTAAAATTAATATGTTTCGATTTGTTTTTAGGAATTTTTTTCTTATAAAATATCGGCTCTGGTTTTTTAATTGTAGACGGATTTAATTCCCAGGCTCCCAGCCCTTGTGAGTCTAATTTGACAAATAAACGATTATTAATATTAATTTGTCGATATGTTTACAATTACTTTTTATTTCGATAAAACAGTATTCTTGTTGTTAAAATTGACACTTAAGGTTTTTCAGGTTTTATTTTATAATTTTTAAGTAACAAAAAATAAATAGAAATCCCAAAAATGTGTTTATAAGCTCGCTTCCTTTTCTTGACTACTTTAAAAAATTTAAATGTTGTCTATATATGCACATACTATAAATAAAAGATGAGATTTAAGAATTTCGTGAGTATTCATTTAAATGAAACCTATATTTTCAGATTAATCCATGTATTTTATTATTTTAAAAAACTACATATGTAATCCGGTCGCGACGTTTCGATAACTTTGCAGCAACTTTGATCACATCACGTCTCGTCTGGCTGTGATCATGGTTACGGAGCCATGGTATTATAGTCCCTTTAATATAATTATTATGGAAATACACCATAAAAAATATAATAATGAAATTCCTGTCCACATTTTTTAAGACAGCCAACTAAACCTGACAGGTCTACTATAACAAATAAATGTTCATTGATTATTATTGTTCATGTATGGCACTTTAAGTTACTAACAAGAGAGATACATCATCATCATCATCATCATCATCAGCCTATCAACGCCCACTGCTGAGCAAGGCCTCTTTCTCACATGGAGAAGGTTTGAGCATTAATCACCACGCTTGCTCAAGACGGGTTGGTGATTTCAAACTTATAATTGTGAAACTATAAGTCCAGGTTTCCTCACGAGAGATACGCTTAAATGTATTTTATCTAATTTCATGACTGAATTTCGCTACAACGAACGCTATTAAGCAACAACGATACTCTTATTCTTAAAAACTTTCGCTTCCCTGCTTGCTATTCTAAGTCTGTCTTTTGTCAAAGGTTTCAACGCTATTGTAAACTATTTTAAAAACACGAAACATAAATATAACTAAACTATTTTCATTTAAATGTGACTCCTGACTTATATTATAATGTGTATAGTTTATAAATAATATCATTTTATTTATCACAACTAAATTACAATGTAAACTTG